GCAGAGAAAAAACAAATGAAAGCTCATCTACAAAAATTATTCCCCACCTCCTCAAAAAACTTTCACTGTTTTTATTTTATGAGCAGACAAACCATTGTTGCCAACTTTATCTGGTATTCTAGAATTTACTTTCTTCTTTGTTGATTGCTTCTTTTATGATGATGATGTTGATACCAACATTCAGGTCCAGGACTAGAAGATTCTAGCTACAACAGAACCTGCTCCTGTCATCCATTTCCTATCGCCATTTGGCTTTGCAAGTGTTGGAGGTGAAAGAAAATCAGAGTAGAAGAAGTTGCTGATGGTATGAATTTGTTTAAGGTAGACCCCAAATTGCCAGGAAGTGAACCATACACTTGATTTCATGACCTTCCTCTACGGTACATGCAGAATCCAGTTATGAAACTGCAATAGACGGCAAATGAGTGTTATAATTTTGAGTGGCACCTTCTTTAGCGTGTCCATTATGCATAGCCTTCTTCATTTGCTAGTTCAACTGTTGAGTTGTAATCATCATCAGCTTGTGCCATAATTTTATATTATAGGGGCACTTTGACATGGTGTAATGGATAGCAAGTTTGTCTTGATAGATCACTTACAATCCTCAGCAGATACTCCATACTTTCAACTTTGTGCCACATCTAAATTAGGCTTAGTAAATCACTATAGTTTTACTAATCTTATTTTTTTTTTTAATTACCAGTTCCTGGGATTTCAAAACAGGTAAAGAAATCCATATATAAAATTCTGTGATTTCCATTAGTCTGTCTGTTTACTATAGCCTCTAAAATAGCCAATTTTGGGTGAGAAGTGCAAACAGGTAAGGGGGTACAAATAAAGTTCATTTAGAATATCCTTTCGAATACACAAGAATCCAGTTTACAGGTTCCCCTGCATTTGTGAGAACTATAAACAAATCAATTTAATGATTAAAATAACAAATACTTATTTAATAAAAATACAATATTGTTTTTTGCATATCTTTTAAGTTTTTATATACAAGAATCCAGTTCACCCTACGTTTGCAAGAACTCTAAACAAATCACAAGGCCAAATGCTTCAAAAAGTTAGAATTTGGCTCCAGAAAGAAATATCTATGCATGGCCAGTTGTATGTTGCATATTGAAGAGTAAGAAATCTTAAGAATTTATTCTTTGCTGTTAAAATGGAAAAAAGAAATTTTATTAAAAGAATATTGTTTACCATGAAGTTCTATAAAATTAAATTACAGAAATTATTAAACTGCAAAGTAAGGTTTTTGTCAAAGTATTTTTCAAACAAATAATCTTCTTGAAATTTCATCAAGTGGTTTGTGAAATTGAACAAAATATAGAGTTTGTAAATCTCGACAAGAAAACATTAGCGATAACTTCAACAATACTGTAAGGATTTCAACATATGTCATCATCTTGCAAAACAATTCTAGTTGTAAAAACTTCCAAAACATTTGACTTGGTAGAATTGGCACATGAAGAAATTTTTGCTTTATTAAATTCTTAAAATATAAATCTTCATCGTGAAAAATTAAACATAGCTTGGTATTTTCCATTTACTTGGTTAGATAGTAGCTAACAAGACTAAAAAAAAAAAAAAAAAAAAAAAATTTTGTACATATATTAGTCCTCCTTTGCTGACCAAATAAACTGCAAGTGTCTACCTAATGCTGACTTTCCCTTTTAGTAGTTATGTCTTGAGTAATATTAATTCAATGCAACATTCCTCCATCCTCGAGCAGCCATTCTAATCCCACTTCCCACAGTGGATTGTTTAGTCCTCACTAGTGAGCAAGCATGTTTCAGTGCCTGGGCTCCCTACTTTAACCACAATGATTTTGACCAAGAAGTTCTGCTGCTTTTAATTTTGGGTAAATGAAGCATGTTCACTCCAAGTAGACTGTTTACATGTTCCTTCTGGGTTTATCTCTTTATTAAAGGTGCTGGAGGTAAACGAATTCTGTGTTGGTGTTAACCGCACGATAGTCAGGAATCCAAACCACAAACTCCAGAGAAGGTTATCCCATCAGCATGTGTATAATATCAAGGCTGTTGTATTGCCATTTTGTGAATTGGATCTGCACTGTACAGTATTTTCTGGTGGGGCCTCGTGATATCATGATGAAGGATTCAATTACACTTGTGCTTCTGTACAATTTAATTCAGCTAATTGATACACATTACTACTTGAGGCTGTGACTTCTTCACTAAATCCCAATATATATAACTATGTCCACAACAAAAACAAATAAAAGATACAAACCCACATAAACAAAAGTAGATCTGAAGTTCAACATCACCTACATAAATGTGAAGAGTCTATGATCCAACTTTTAAGAAGTTGAACAACATGTTCATGAGATCAAGCCTGACCCCATGTTCCTGTCAGAAACTGGTCTGGGCCTATCTATCCAAGTTCAGGATTTCACAATTCCTTGCCCTTTATAGTAAAAGATGACATTCAGAATCACAATGGCTGTAGACTTGGTGTCTATATTAAAGATGGGCTCCCATGTGGCAAAGACTCCAAACACGAGGAAGTGGATTACTGAAATTTACAGATGATTAATTATTTCTGAATGATTTTGGTGGCCTATATGAAAGTTTTGATCTGATGGGGCTATTTAAAATCATGAATGAAGTCTACAGATTATTAAGTACTTCTGAATGATTTTGGTGCCATACATGAAAATCTTGCTCTGATGAGACTATTTAAAAATATCATATCTTGAGCTTTCCATTTTGCTGACAATCATATATGTTAGAAATTAAAATAATAAAAAACAAATGTTGTCAATTTTTTGTATGGACATTTATTTTGTAGATATGCTGTATCTTATTTTAAAGTTAAAAAAGTATATCCAAGTATCAAAATAGATATGTTGTCTGCTAATTTAATGATTTTTTTCTCATATTTATTTTTGTGTACTTTAGTGTTTATATACCAGCAGGAATAGGAAAGGAAAAGTAACTGATCAGTTTATTTTTCCTATATAGGGTTTTCTCATGTGTATGCAAATTGATTCACTTGGTGATGTGCATAAAAGAGCATGTTCACACCTTTTGGAAGTAGTCTGGGGGCCCTGGTCAGCAACTTCAGCCAGAAGGGATAATGGCATCATCATTCCTTCCTACAGCAGCAGCAGCAGTCATCAATGTCTCCATGATGACCAAGAACCACAGAATGGAGTGAAAAATCTCTTCACAAAGAAAATATTTTTGTGAGCCAAAATTTTAAAGGGTTAAATTTAAAACTTGTTATTAAGAGCTATCTTTTTTGTTCTGTTAGTAAGTACAAAAATCATTTTATTTATATGTTTGATGTTAAATGGCTGGGAATAATCCCATAGCACTTAAACCTACTATTGGTGCAATTCAAGTACTATTCATTTATGTCTACATCTAACTTGTTTATATTGTAAATAAAGTTTCTCTTATTTCTATAAACATTGAGCATTTGTTGTTCATTTCCTTCACTGTCTTGGTCTATATTGCTAACTTTCATATTAGGCTTGTTGCCGCTTGTTCTCGCATGAGAGAAATTTCTCAATAATACACTATCAAGATCACAGGCATCAACTTTCAATTTATTTTTCCAACATAGTTTTTTTTTTTTGCTTTAGTTAATAGTCCTTTCTTCTTGCTTTCTATTACTATCTTATCTAAGAATTCTTTCAAATTCATTTGAGTCTATCATTAACATAGTGTCTTCTATGGTGTATCAGTCTGCAAAGTTCATTAAGAACACAACAGTTCACTTGAAGATAGATTTGTTGCATTTATTTTCTGGATCAACATTTATTTGAGTGTCAAATTTCTTACGGAACAATTGAAATAAAAATAAATAAATAAATCTGAATGGTAATAAAATTCATAAACCTTATATTTTCTTAAAGAGTGAAACAGACATCTTGTGGCCGGGGTAATTGAAAATTTTTCTTAGAAAGAAGCCACATTCCTTTAACACTTCCCTAGTACCACAATGCGGTGTTTGAACATCTCACAAAATGTTTTATCTTAATATTTAGCAAGTTAAATTTTCATAGTCAAGTAGATTTCTGAATACTTCTGTCAAATAACCACAAACGTTTTCTGGTTTTAGTCATAATATTTGTCTATATTTCTGAGATGAGGTATTATGTACACTGTTTATATTGTTCAGACTATCATCCTCATCTTTGTTGTCATATTTATCACAATGTTTCAGCTATTGTACACTCCGGCCTTCTTCAAACGTTGTGATAAATATGGCAGCAAAGATGAGGATGATAGTCTGAACAATGTAAATAGTGTACATAATATTTGTCTGGTTTGTGTTTTATGGCATATCAACCACAAAGGTTTATTTAATGCCAAAATTTTTTTTTTAAATACATATATATAAATTCATATGAATAAAAAAAAATTCTTTTTCATCAAATCACTTTGTAAATCAAGTTTCATTAACACTTTTGCAAAGAGGGCTTCATTTGAGAGAAAATTCTATTGCTGGTATTATTTTTTGCTTCAATAAAGAATTTTGGGCAATATTTATTTTCTACATAACTGGTTTCCTAGTTTTATTTCTGCAGATAGGGTTTGAAAATTTTTATCTCTGGGAGAACAAAAGACACTCACTGTCTTACTGGCCCTAAGAACCTGCTAATACTTTTTTTAATCGACTGTGATTGGATGGTTCAAAGGTGAACTCCCCCCTTTGAAAGGGACAGAAGAACTGTGACTGGACCTTAGCAGCAGTTGGAAACGAGACCACTGAAAGAAGAGGTTCGTTTTCTCTCTCCCTGCTAAAAAAGCAGGCAGCGTTTGCCCATAAGTAAAGGATGCATGGGTAACAAAGTTGCTGAGGGCAAGTTTCCTCACCAGGGAAAGTTTTGAGAAGTCCTCTTGAAGAAGCCCCAGAAAAGAAAGTTGAAAAGAAGTTCGTATGTGGAGTTTGGAGCCAAAACCATTTGAGAAGAAGACGAATGAGCGAACACGTGCGTTTTCAAAAAGTATTTTACCACATGTTTATGTAAATTTCCACCTTCTAGTGGCCATAAAAGAAAAGCGTAATTTCCAGGTGGACGGAAAGAAAATAAGTGAAGAAAGAAGGGAGTTGGTCACCAGGGAGAGAACTTTGTCTGCACAAGAGAGAAAAGAAAAAGGATAAAAACTTTTGAACCTTGAAAGGACTGAAAGTGTACTGAAGAGCTAAGGCTCTTCCCCCACTTTTTTATTATCATTGACACAGCAGGGGGGGGAGAGGGGCTATTCTTTTTTTTTGTGCATTGTAATTTTTAACTTTGTGTTAGTCAGAGAATAGGTTGTCCCATTCTCAGCAAAAAGGGATGAATTTTTGCAAAAACCCTTATTTAGCTGGTTAGAAATAAATAATTTTTCTTTGTAATCGAATCTGATTTGCATTTTTTTTCTTTCTTTTTTTATTATGAATTCGGGCAGTAGTAAAAATACTGTTGCAGAAGGTTTTATTTTCTGAAAGAAAAGAAAATTTCTGAAAAGGGTTTTCATCAATATATCTTCATAGATATATATATATATATATATATATATATATATATTTTTTTTTTTTTTAAATAAAAAGTTAGGTTTGTTTCATTTTATGGCATATCAACCTCAATGGGTTATTTAATGCTGACAAAATTTTTATTGCTAGTAATATTTTTTTTCTGAAAATGTATTGCTACTGGTAATATTTTTTCAAAAAGTATAGCTGGTAATAATTTTTTTTCAAAAAATGTATTACTGGTAATTTTTTTTTTTTTTTTTTCAAATTTCCTCAAAAATTCACTGCTGGTAATAACTTTTTACAAAGTATTTCTGGTATTAAAACCCATTTTCACACCTTCACAGTGCTCTGGCTCCAGTTTCAGGGTCAACTATCTACCCATAGCTAGACCCCAACAAGTGTCACCACCCTGGGTCTGAGTGTACCTGAGAACACCAGCAATTAAGAGGCGGTTCCATGCTCCTCAAAACCTCCTGATCAGAGGCCATGCTGTTGGACATAGTTTATCGTCTTACACAGGACAGCATAATGTTTGTACAAATTAAAAAAGTTTTATTTAATATGTGAATATGATAGAGGTTCTTTTGAAAAGACAACCTCAAAAAGATACATTTTTTTTTTTTAATCATTTCACCCCAAGCAAGGTGGGAATGCTGCTAGTATGCAGGGGGTTACAGAGAGTGAAAGTGAGAGAAACGACTGGGTGAGGAGGAATGAAGAAAGGATAAAAGATTAACGGGATTCAAAAAGATAGAAAATGACAATTGATGTTGCATTTGAATTTTTGAAGATTGTAGTTATCAGGGAAGCAGGTAAACTGAAGGGAGTTTCAGAGTTAGGAAGTGGGAGAAAAGAAACTGTTGGAGTAGAAGTGGCAGTTGCATTTAACTATTTCAAGATTAAAAGTTTGGAACTGAGATGCCAATCTAGTAGTCCGCTTAAATTCTTGTAATCAAGGCACCAGGGAAAATTTGATAAAAGACCTAAATCAGGGAATTTTAAAAAATACACAAGCAACAAATTCACATCAACCTTTTTCAACCTTGTTCAACAGAGAGACAAAGTTACTACAGGACTAATTCTTGACAATGACTAAAATCAGTTGAAAGCTTGAAATATTTAACCCACTGTTAGCACTATGTGGTATTTGAACAACATACAATATGTTTTTCCTTAATATTTGCCATGTCAAGTATTCATGAAGTCAATTAGCTTTCTGAATACCTGTCATGTAACGGCAAGGAGTTTTTGGTTTTAGTCATGAGATTTGTGCAAATAGCAAGCAGTTTTATTTGTACGTGAAAATACAACCTGAGGAAAAATCTAAATATTTAGCAAGTGGGAAGTCAAATTTTCATCATGAGTTAAGTTTTCTGAATACTGTATTCAAGTAGCTACAAAGAGTTTCTGGTTTTAGTCATAATATTGTGGGAATTACAAGTAGTTTTATTAGCCAATGACAGAGGATCTTTTAAGGAGACAACCTTAAAATATGTTTGAGGAAAGATTTAGAGCAGGGATTTTTTAAGAATACATAAGCAGTTTTATTTTGATTAGGATTGCAAAAGTATCCCATAGTAGTAACTACTTTTTTTTCTCTGACCCACCTGTTAAATTGATTTAATTATAGTGATAAGCAAGAAAATAGTTTTAGTTAGTTATATAACTTAAGTAACTGCAAATATCTTTTTTAATCTTTTCACTCAAAGCAGAGCAATAAATTCACTAAGACACAAGGGGGTTACTGAGTGTGAAAGAATAAGAAAAAATATTATGGAGCAAGAACAATAAAAGAGGAGGAGAAATCAATAAGACAAAAAAATAATGAGTGACATTGCATTTACATTTTTGAAGATCAAAGTTGTCTGGAAAACAAAAAGTCAGAAGAGCATTCCACAAGCAAGAAATGTGAGAAAAGAAACTGTTAGCAAAGAACTTATGGTTATGTTTAGTCAATTCAATTGTGAATTGATAAGATCTTGATGCCAATCTAGTCCTGCATCTAAATTCATAAAGTCTATGTGTCATGGAAGAAAGTTCATTAGAACAATTACCATGAAAATATTTATAGAAAAAGCATAGGGAAGCTACATTATGACAGTAGGAAATTGACCGAAGCTGAGATGCTAGGTCAGGACCAATAACATTACAACTATTTTACTTTACGGCTAAATACAAGAAACAACAAGATTCTTTAATATTGGCTTTTAATTTGATTTTTTCAAGATAAAAACTCTTGTTTGTTTTTTTTTGTCTTTTATCCATCTAATAAAAACCAGAAAGAATAAACAAAACAAAATATAAGTACAAAATAAATAAGAAACAAATGAAAAATCTGTTTTAAATTAAATGTTTGAAAACATCACAAAACATGCTGTGATGATGCCCCACAGTAGTAAACAAAGAGTTAATAAGACTTTCAATTGCTCAGGCAGGTAGATGTCAATTTCGCTTTTTAAAAACAGGGATATCTAGCCAAATATATGTTCTCACAAAGTCTAACATTTTTAGTAATAAGAAATGATGATTAATTTAAGAATCATTTAGAAAAACATAAATTTGACATGTTTTGCTGGATTTATTGCAGTTTTATCAGAATTTGGGGGTATATATGTATTATATATATATATATATATATATATATATATAGTTAGTTAGTTTTGTGTATCTGTCTATATTTCTGAGATGAGGCATCATGTACACTATTTACATTATTCAGACTATATTGTCCTCATTTTTGTCGCCATATTTATTTGTAATAAATATGGCAACAAAGATGAGGACAATAGTCTGAATAATGTAAATAGTGTACATAACACCTCATCTCAGAAATATAGACAGATACTGAAAGGACGAAACATTATGATAAATATGGCGACAAAGATGAGGACAATAGTTTAAATAATGTAAATAGTGGTTTTGTGTATGTTTTTTTTTATATAAAAGTTTTTCTGAGAACAAAGCATGTTTGTCATTCTTTTTCCGTTCAACCATTCCATTCTGTCCTGTCTGTGAGCTACGGTGTATTGTTATATCATGGATATAACAATTCTCATAACAGGAGAAACACAATCTTTTTCCTAGCACTCTCATTACAAGAGGAATTCAAAAAAAAAAAAAAAAAAAAAAAAAAAATTTATAAAAGTTTTCCAATTTTATTTATTAATCTATTTTGTCAGATTAATCCATTTTTTTTTTTTTTTTTCAAATTAAAAGAAATATTGCCAGGTTAAAAAAAAATGTATTAACTGCTTAAAATAAAATCAGTACAAACACCATTCTTCTTTTCAGGATATACTCCATTTTTAATTTTATACTGAGAAAAGTATTTCACTGTGAGTAATTTAAAATATACTTTTAAGTGTATTTTTTCTTTCTTTTATATAAATTGAAAACATTAAGCTTGAAGATTAGGAAAATATAATACAACCATAATAAACTTAGGAATTTTGTTTGTTTTTGTGATCAATGAAGAACAGTTTAATTAAGTATTGACACCTGTACTTGAGTTTCAGCCAACACCATCATGCAGACAGAGGGTTAAGATAAAGAGCCATGATCAACACCAGCAAAGGAGACGTCTTTTCTTGAGTCGGCACATGTTTCAAACTGAATGTCATTATCTCTGCTTTTATAATCACATCAGAACAGACGGAAATTCAAATGTCATGTAAATAAATATACATGCTTTATCATACTTATGTTTATTAATTACCAACACTGAGACATTTCTGCATTATTAAGTGTGTGCAAAATTTCCCAGAACTTTCTTTTGAAAACTTGACAGAAGAGAATAGAAAGCAATTTGTTATTTTTCTCCTTCCCACCTCACTGCAAAGTTTTACATACAATGAATAAGTTTTTAATAGCTATATTATTTCTATTTTTATTTAAGTATTATTATTATTATTATTATTATTATTATTACACATACATGTGTGTGTGTGTTTTTTTTTTGTTTTTACCACTCTCAACTTTTTTTTGTGGATAGCCATATTTGAGTAGAAGCTCCATTCATTTTAAATAGTACATTTATTTTCATTTACCAGTCTGAATATTTGAGATATCTTACTGAAGAAAAAGATGTGCCCTCCAGCAAGATTTGAACCTGTATCACGCTTTGCAGGAGAAATTCTCATTAGATCTTAAAATAAATGGAGCTCCTATTCTACATTCTTTTCTTTATTAGCCATCAAACTGTATAACTTCATGTTCTTCATAACTTACCTGACTTTACCGTTAACCTGAAGAATATTTATGAGCTTTCTTATAACTAAAAAGTTAGAAAAAAACCCAAAAAAAAACCCATTTTTATGCTTGTATATAAATACTCAGAGGATGAAACATGTTGGCTAAGAAAAGTTTTTCTTTTGTCTTCATTCATATTGTCCTATTACAGATATACTCTATCTGAACTTTTTCATATTATATATATATATATATATATATATATATATATATATAAAAAGAAATATAGTTTTAAGCTGTGGTATATTTATGGGATAAAGTTCTCAATATCAGAGATAGAGCGTATGTAAATACAAATATAAAAATGAACATTTAAGGTCAACACTCAGAGGCGACAGGCTGTTTCATGCTGGACGCAATCATCAGGCCGACGATTGCGTCCAGCATGAAACAGCCCGAGTGTTGACTTCAATGTTCCCTTTTATATTTGTGTGTCTGTGTATGTATATATATATATATATAATGTGTACTCTGTCTAAAATAGTTTTAAGAGCTTTTTAACACAATCGCACCCTCCTTATGACAAACATGAAATAAACAGAGACACATTTTCAAAATTCAAGTATGAAATGGGATGTTAAAGAGTAAATTAAATGTGTGTGTGTATGTTTTCTTGACCAAGACTGACAAGTTACTTTTGTTTCAACCGCTATGGAACCATATTAACCTCAATGGGCAATGTACTCATCCAGAACATCACTGAAAGAACCAATTAAAAGTGATGGAAGCTCTTATTATAAAAAAAAACAAGAAGCCAACACTTAATAACATCAACTATGAATACAACCACAATATACTGGCTATATTCAGCAACTTTTATAGTCAGCACTTATATTCCATTTTTATTATGGTAGCGTAACAAAAAGAAATCCTTCACTTGTATGCACACAAGAAAAACATAATAAAAATAAACAAAAGTAATTTGTCAGTCTTATTCAATGAAACATGTATTAAAGAAGGATTGCTACCTAAAAACCCCACTGCTTCATGTTTAAACACATTTTTCAAGCCATATGAGTTGTGTTTTGGCTCAACTATTTATATATTCTGGTCAATGGTACATTATGGGTCTATTGTATTATTTTAACAGTTTTGGGGATGGGCAGTAGCTATTATATTTTTATTATTCTAGGAGCCAGTGAGTAAAAATAATTGTGGATATGAAAGCAGTTTAGTGTTGTTAACATTTTTACTTATTTATTATTGATTACTAAATTATTTGTTGTTGATTGTTATTATTAGATTTTTAAATAACATAGTAAAAATTTGTTTTTGTGTCACCATCTTGAGATATATATATATATATATATATATATATATATATATATAAAATATATATAAAATGAACATTATATATACATGTATATATCTATGTAGTTACACAATTTATATTGTAATTTATACATAATTATAATCTTATAATTTTATTATCCATTCTTCTAAAAATTCTCTTTTTTCAAAAGAAGCTCAATTGTTCTGATATCAAGACAGACATTTTCTGTCTGTCTTGACATATGGCAGATTTATCTTCAAAGTTAAGGAAGTAATTCAAAGAACATATATCTTATGCAATAAATACAGATTGTATTTTCAGGGTTTTTTTTTTTTTCTTGTACTAAATAGAATTTGAAAAAAAAAATCTTGTTGATAACATGTGCTTTTCATAATTCTTTATCAACCCAAACTGTCACCATTCCCATGATCACAATTCATTGTTGGGGAAAAGCAATGCAGTCATTAATCTTTCAAATGACATCTTGAAATAGAATCAAATAACCAGAATGAAGAATCGTAAAGAAAAAATAAACAAAGTAATGACAATTATCTGATCATATTTGGCTGAAAGGCAATGTTTCTTAATATTGTTGGCGTTTGCTTGTTAATGGATTTTGGACATGTCTATTAAAAAAGCAACATCTGCAAAAATAATGGGCTGGCCACTTGTAATGCAAATTACAAGACAATGGACATTGAGAATAGAAAACTTGGAATCAATTTAATATTTATCCAATAAATATGATTTTACTGATTGGAAATGTGATGATAGATAATTTAAAACGATCTAATAGGTGCAAAAAGAGGGAGAGAAAGAAAGAAAGAAAGAGAAAAGGTGATGAGAGAGAGAAAAGGTGATAGCGTAAGAGAGAGAAAAGGTGATGAAAAGATTTGCTGAGAGAAAAGGTGATGAAAAGATTTGCTGAGAGAGAAGGGGAAGAGTTGATATGAGAGAGACAGAGAGAGAAGACTAAGTAGAAAAGAAAGAATGAGACAAGAAAGAAAGTTAGAGAGAAAAAAGAGAATGTGAGAAAGAGAAAAAATGAAAGAAAAAGAGATGGTGGAGAGAAAAAGGTAAAAAAAATGAGAATGAAAGAGATAAACTAAAGAGAGAGGATCCAAGAGTGAGAAAAACAAAGAAACAGGAAGAGAGAGAAACCAAGAGAAAAAAAGAGAGTCATTATCTTTTCAGATGTTTAACCTACATTTTTTTTTGCATTCCAGTTGATAAATTCAACAGCATTCCATAGCTATACATCTGAGCACTTACATTCTTTTCTCATATGGATTGTACAGAAGGTTGGGGAATCGGTCAGCTGAAATGCCATAATAACAAAAAAGAGAATGGGTTCATCTTAATACTTGAAAGGAATTATTATGTTTGCTTAATTTCTTAAAGAAAGCAACAGAAGTTTAAAAGGTCACTTTGATGAAATGTCAATGACAGCATTGCTTTTTTATAACAATGATATGAGAGATCTACGAAGATCAGGTCACACGTAATTGGCATGCCCCCTCAGGTGGTTTACTGTCATATTGCATGTGACAGTGGCTGGGAGCTCCTGTGGCTGCGGCAACTGAAAAAAAAATATGTAAAATTAAAATCATTAATCAGTAAAGAAAAATATTAAAAGATTGAATCAACAACAAAAAGAAAGAAAAAATAAAATGCCTTAATAGCTTTAATCAAGACAAAGAAAAATAAAGAAAAAATGTATTGAGTGCACTGACAGATTTTATCAACAAAAAAATAATTGCACATTATGGGGAGCTGTCCATCAATATGAGAAGAAAAATATTAAACTTCCCAAAGTATTTGTTTTGCTTATTTGCTTGCAAGCACACACATAAACACATAAATACTTACATATCTGTGTAAGTATATATACTTATGTTTATATGTTATTTCTATTATTATACTATACTATTATAATAATAGTATTATTATGCTATACCAGTTATAACTGGTATATCATGTCAGGCTATATGATGGTTCTGCGTCGGATACAGGTTTGATTCCTGTTGAAAGATGCATATTTTTTATGAAATTTCTTGGACATTCAGACCAGTAAATGTTGTTATTACTGTTTATTATGAACAGCATTTACTTTTATATATATATTTTTAAGACATTTTTATGTTTATATATTCTTTTTCATAGATACAAATATTTAAGTAAATGCTCTGTTTATAATAAACAGTATTATAAAATTTACTGGCCTGAATGTCTGAGAAATTTTCATAGAAAATATTCATCCTCCAACAGGAATCGAACCCGTATCTTATACGTAACTGTCATACAGCCTGACGTGCCTTAACCGATTGAGTTACAGAGGATCGTTCGGTTAACAAGGTCGATTTTACTGCCTTTAAACTACAATCTTGCAAACTGAACAATCCTGTGGCTCAATTGGTTAAGGCACGTCGGGCTATATGATGGTTCCGTATAGGATACAGGTTCGATTCCTGTCGGAGGATGAATATTTACTATGAAAATTTCTTGGATATTCAGGCCAGTAAATGTTATTAATACAGTTTATTATAAACAGAGCATTTACTTAAATATTTGTATCTATAAAAAAGAATGTATAAACATAAAAATGTCTTAAAAAATAACTGTCGGACTTTGTCCATTTCATTATATATATATATATATATATATATATATATATATATAAAATGTATAACAATAAAATATATTAAAATAATTGTCGGACTTAGTCCATTTCGTAGTGCATGACTGTTTGTTTATGTTAAGATACACTTCAAGCAGATATGGATGTTCGAAGGAAATCATGGGAAGTTTGTAGTTTAAAAGCAGTATAATCGACCTTGCTAACCAGATGATCCTTCATAGCTAAACTGATATATCACATCAGGCTATATGATGGTTCCATGTAGCATACAGTTTCGATACCTGTCCGAGGACGCATATTTTCTATGAATTCAGGCCTGTAAATGTTGTTAATACTGTTTATTATAAACAGAGAATTTGCTTAAATTTGTGTATATATAAATAATGCATAACAATAAAATATATTAAAACAATTATATGTTTATGTGTTTAAATAAGATACTGAATCTCGACAAAGTTTGAAGAATATGACAAATGGAAAACAATTTCATTGAAAATAGATCACATGTTTCACTATTACAAGAATTCAACAGAACAAAAATGAAAGAAAGAAAAGTGTGTTTTTGTGTGCATGTTTAAGTAATAAATCATTAGTACTTTTCTATGCTAAGCTGTCATTTCTCGTGATGAAAGAAAAGAATAAAATTGTACAACTTTGTAAAAAAGTTCCTAATATTTATTCTGTATCTTTACAACCTTGAGTGTACAACAGCCGAAATTCATACACAGATGTCCTCAAAGACACATGGTATAGTGGATAAAGGCGTTAGTTAGATCCAGTGACAGGACCCAAATAGTGTGAGTTCAATACCCAATTAAGGCAGTGGAGAACTTTCAGAGGGGAATTAACAGGAGATAACTGATAACTGACATCCATTAAACATGGCACGGGGAACTAGAGCAGTCTACCCCAGTAAGTGAAATAAAGGGTTCAGTTTGACATTCTGACTACATGAAGAAGGCCAGAGCGTACAATGGCGAAATGTTGTAATAAATATGGCGACAAAGATGAGGACAATAGCCCGAATAATGTAAATAATGTACATCTGCAACAAGTTGGAAAAACGCCTCAACTTCAAAATTAATTCCCCATGATTTGACAGCGAACAATCACAGAGCAAGAATGGACATTTTCTCTTCAGTTTTGCCATGAACAATTCTTTTAACAAATTAGTAACTGGTGATGAAAAATGGGTATTTTACAAGTATATTAAGCAATTCGGACAATCTTAATTGTTAAGTTAATAATCAAATAAGCTTCATGCAAGTTCTACAACTACAAAATACCCATGAAAATTCCCCTATTGCTCCTCACAGAAGCTGACATTATTCACATGAAAGCATTATTACCTCGTCTTCTTTTCCTTTTCCCTAAAACCAAACACTGCCTTTGGTATATCTTTCCTTCTATCTTCACAATCAAACAAGAACAGCCTATTGTTTATCTGAGGTAATGGCAAGGCATAACATACATGCTAACTAAGGAACAAAGCAAAATTATAAAATAATGTTCAGGCCATCTACCCAGGTTTCACTTCTTTGAAATGTTTGGCACTTAAGGCACCCCACACCAAAAAAAGTGCCAAGGAGGCTGGAGTCATTTTTGTTCCAAGTCAACAAAGGTATAAGCTATCAACGCACTTTAAACTCATCATTGTGCCCCATTCTGCTCAAGTGGGTGTGCAGTTAAATCCCAACTGGGCAATGAGGTGGCCAATAAACAAAATATGTAAATTAGTGATAAAAAAAAACCCCAACCACTTACCAGAATTTGAGCTTTGAGATGAGGAATCCCATCGTGCAATCATTTGATCAGTGAAAGAGATGTCCATATCCAGTTGTTCAGAATAAGGATTCTGTAAGAGTTTGTAAACACGCTGCACCTCAGAGTAATCACCTTCCTCGGCAGCTTTGATGGCATTTTCAGCAATGTAATTCCGTAAGATAAACCTAGTTAAATATACACAAAATAGATTTTCAATTACACAACAAAATTCTTTCTTATATTCTGTTATTTTTTATTACACTTCTCAAATTAGGATTATAAACCAGTAAGTGGGTTCAAACCTTTTTGGAATCCTATTTTTATTTAAATGTAAAGGAATTCAAATTTATACAATGAGGCTTTGTCAGTATCATTATTAATATTTGACTCATCATTTATTTTGTAGCTTTTTATCACAATTCTTGGATAATTATCCTACAATATTGTCATTCTGAAATCAAAGATAAGGACACATCTTTTAACCAGAAAGTCTCAAGTTAAACAGAAAATCTTACAAGAAGTCAAATATTGGGTGGGACAGCACCTTAGCCAAAAGCTGCACCTTGACAAAAAAGTCAAATATTGGGAGGGGTTGCACCTTGATGAAAAAGTCAAATATTGGGAGGGGTTGCACCTTGATGAAAAAGTCAAATATTGGGTAGGGCAGCACCTTGACGAAAAAGTTAAATATTGGGTGGGGCTGCACCTTGACGAAAAGCCAAATATTGTTTGGTGCATCACTTCAGTCAAAAGTCAAACAATGGGCCAGATGGCACCTCAGGCAAAAGCCAAATAATTGGTGGGATGGAACTGTAGCCAAAAGCCAAACATTAGGCAGGATGACACTTTGGCCAAATTCAAACATATGGCCACACACCACCTTTCTTAATAGCCAAATGCTGGGCAGGGATGCACCTTGGTGTGAAATCACCTCTCTCAAAAACTGAACACTGGATGGGATAGCAATACTTTCAAAAGCAAAACAATTGTCCACATGACAACTTTCTCCAAAGTCTTTGAATAAAAGTTAAATACTAGGCTTGGTGGCACCTTTGCCAAAAACCAAACATTCATCAGGACTACACCTCAATCTAAAGACATGCATCTACTTGAAGTTGTCCCCTTTTGTAGGCATGCAATCTTACCCTGACTGCTGGGGATACATCCAATGAGACTTGCTGATAAAGTAGACAGCATTGCATAATCTTGTTTGCAAAAGATGAAACTCATTAAAAGGCAGGAATATTAACCTTGGGTAACTGAACTGAAATAATTCTCTTTTATTAATAAGAATATTGCATCTCTGTTATGAGAGGCTAATATCTTCATTACCTTTGATAATTTATAGTTTGTTAATAAAATAATTAAAATTATCAAGAGTTGAGATTTTAAAAGTTGATAGAAGGAAAATGATAATTTTAATAAAAGGCAAAAATTAGTAAAAATAATAAAGTCAGGAAAGATACTGTAATGACTAAATTGGTGAGAATTTTTAGTAAAAAAAAAAACTACTAAAAATTTGATAAAGGATCTCACCTGGGATTATTACTGTTCATAAGTTGTACTCTTTGTTCCCAGTATGTCTTAATATCCACATGTGCAACAGCATCGACCTCTACCAATTCCATGTATTCTGACAGCCATTTCTTCCAAGATTCTTTATCTTTCTGTTCTTTTTCTTCTTGTGTTATATTCTGGCAAAAGTTACAGATATTGAAATGATAACTGATGAGCAACATTTTGCATGAAGCTAAGAATTGTTTTATTAAAAGATAAATGAATTAATTATTCATTATGACTTTATCATTTTCAATAACAATTAAGAAAATCATTGGTTGAAGTTGAAAGAAAAAAAATTATTTTTACTTATAGAATTAGCATTACCAATAGAAAATTCTATTCATATATATATATATATATATATATATATATATATATATATGTATATATATATATATATTTTTTTTTAAGCATTTCACCCCAAGCAAGGCAGGAAGCCACTAGCATGCAAAGGATTACAGAGGATTTGGAGCGAGAGCAGATAGGAGTGATAGAGGAAAGGATGGGGAGAAGGATAGTGGATAGATCAAGACAACTAGAGGTGTCAATTGACATTACACTTGAATAGTTGGAGATTATAGCTATCACGGAAACAGGAATAGGGAAGGGAGTTCCACAGGTGAGAGGTGCGAGACGGCTACATTTAACAGTTTCAACAGTGAAAGGGTAAGAGTAGGATGCAAGCCTTGTAGGACGCTTAAATTCATGAAGTCTGGGAACCAGCACAAGCAGCTCATTGGACCAATTACCATGAAAGTATTTGTAAAAAAGACAGAGAGATGCAACGGCACATCTGTGAGAGAGCGACTGCAAACGAGATGCCAGATCAGGGCCAATTACATTGCATATCCGTCTCTGGATCTTATCAAGAACCCCGAGGCAAACAGAAGGGGCTCCAGACCATATATGGCAGCAATACTCCATATAAGACTATATATATATATATATATATATATATATAGTATATATATATATATATATATATATATATATATATATATATTGTAATAAATCTGGTGGTATATAATCCAAGTAGATCCTAGTAATATAAAATATCAAAACTGATCCACAAAAAGAGCTCAATGTATTTATTATTACAGAGTAAATAATTAGTAGACAATAAAATCCAAAATTACCTCATATGGGGAATAGACTTATTTCAACTGATGAAGACTTTGGCAGTTTTATTCAACAGTATATAGACTGAGTTAGAGTCAGAATTATAAATTTAACTGTGACAATTGTTGAAAAACTAATGCAGAATTTATCCATTTCAATTTTTCAGTCAGACGAAAGGCACAAGACAGTGGTCAGGTGAGAGAGGAAGGGAAGAGGTTTTTATAAAATTAAACCCGGATATTAACCTTATGACTTTAAATTGGAGTTATATGAAGAATGAAGTGTTAGTTTGAAACTAAGAGAGGAACAAAAAGTTTTTTTTCTTTTTAAATATATATATGTTTGTGTGTGTGTGTGTGTGTTTGTAGGTTAAAATGAAAGACAAAACTGTGTGTGACAAAAATGCATTGGGACCTCTGAGGATGAGTATCATAAATCAAATTACCCAAGTTTATTGCATCCTAATGTCTAGACATGAAGACATGCCCAACTGTGTGTTTGTTTTATCTATATTAGAGCCATTTGGTATTGTAGGATTTTAAATCAGGGATTTTTTTGTTACAAGGTAGCGAAGGAGAGCAAGAAGAAGGGACTACAAGAAGACAGAATGCATGGTCATCAACAAAAAGATGAGCCTGAAATGTAATTTACAGGTTGGAAACACTAAAATCAAGCAGGTGTGAAAATTTAAATACCTGGGAAGTATTCTGACAGATGACAGAATGTGTGACACTGAGATCCAAAGACACATTGGGGTAGATAAAGATGCATTCCAAAAATTAGGTAGAGTATTACGAGAAAGAAGAGTTTCATTGGTAACAAAGAAAAGAATACTACACTGCTATGTGATATCTATCCTTCTTTAATGGTAGCAAATGTTGTACGGTCTGTGCAAGGTTGAAGAAGAGACTCAAGGCAACATAGGTGTGATTCTACAGAAAGATCCTAAGGATACCATGGATCGAACATGTGAGCAACAAGGAGGTCTTGGAGAAGATGCAAACAAAGAGGAAACTTATACTTAACATCAGGGAGAGACAGCTGAAATTTCTGGGACATGTAATGAGAAAGGAAGGCTTGGAAAATATGATACTCACAGGGTGGATATAGAGAAAGAGGGACAAAGGAAAGCAGCATGTGATATACTTAATGGGCTTAAGCAAGTGGATGGCAGAACAGGGGCTGGGAAAAATAATAAAAACACAAAACTTATTGAGTGCTATAAGGGACAGGATGAGGTGGAGAGCCATGATCACCTACCTCCTGAAAGGACATGAAACTTAAAAAAGAAGAATATTTTCATCTGTATTGCTGTTATCTATTTATCTATTAAATGACTTTGTTAATATTATGTCATTTCTGTCTGAATTTCTCAGTTGAAGAGTTATCATTATTTACATTCAGATTAATATTCCTATTTCTGCTGTTATTATTACCTGATCATCTTTTTATTTAATAAAACAACATTTTCCAGGTCAAAATTCTGATCATGAAGGTTTTTCATTTTATCATCCGGTTTACAGGAGTAGAAGTTTAGTCCCTGTTTCCTGTTTAGGATTGGATTTCCAGTTCCTTCTAAAGTCTTTTCATTCTCATTCACTACCAGCAACCCCTCACATGTTAGTGGCATTATTGCCTTGCTTGGGATGAATTGATAAAAAAATACCAGTACATTGAGCATGTTGTACTTTAATTACCTTTTATGTTTGTATATTTTCTTTAAATTTTCTGATTTCAATTATGTATTTTTTGGGGTTATTGTTTGCATTCTATTTGGTAGACTCCTTCCTCTGATGTAAAGTTAATAGATTCTTTTGTATTGATTATTGTCTTAGTGATATTATCCCCTTGCTGGGGTCAAATTGATTAAAAAAAATTTTTTTTTTTTCAATCACTACCAATGATTTTATATTGTTACATTTAGTAGGAACAGGTGTTTGAGTAGACATTCTATTTTTTTTTAAAACATCCGAGTCCATCCTTCAAATCTATAAATCAACCGTCCATCCTTGCATGGAATATTGCCATCATATATGGTCCGGTGCTCTCACTGTACATCTCGAGGTCCTCAACAAAATCCAGAGACAAATATGCAAGATGACATGTTCTGATCTGGCATCTAGTCTACAATCGCTATCCCATAGATGTGCCATGGCCTCCCTCTATCTCTTCTATAAGTATTTTCATGGCAAATGTTCCAACAAGCTACTTCTGCTGGTTCCCGGACTACATGAATATAAGCAAACTACCAGGTAGGCATCTCGGTCCTACCCTTTCACTGACAAAACAGTTAAATATAACAGCCTCTTTTACTCAAACAGCTTCTTCTCTCGCACTTCCCATCTGTGGAAATCTCTTCTACTTACTTGCTTCCCCAATGACTATAATCTTCAAATATTCAAGTGTAATGTCAATTGACATCTGACACCCTGAGCTTGTTCCCTGTTCTCCTCTTTATCCTTTCCTCAAACACACCTCTTTACTCTTGTTCTCAGTCCTCTGTAACCACTTGCATGCTAGTGGCACTTCTGCCTTGCTTGAGGTGAATTGCATTAAAAAACTGAAATTATTGTCAACCAGACTAGAGACTAAGAAGTCTTATTAAAGAAAATGCGAATCCTGACAGGAATTGACCCTTTATTCCATTAGGATCACAAGCCTTTTATGAATTAGGTCATTGGAAAACATAAGGAGAAAACACAGTCCAATGCTTATCCCTCATTGGAATGTGTTCAAGTTTCCTCTAGCTACCTTTATTTTTGTACTTGATACATGAAGAGAGTAATTTTTAAGCAGTGCAATAAAAAACAGACATAATTATTAAAAGTAAATAGGAAATTGAAGAAAAAGAAAATACAATACATTCCTAATAATAACCTGTTATATTTTCGTAAAGAATAAAAAAAGGAAACTAGCTTTACTGTCCACGTGACTTTTCACACGTTCCCATTCCTCTTTAAAAGCTGTGCTCTTCTTCCTTTTTGATTACTGACTGCTATGAATTAAGTTCCGTAAAGCCTTAGGAAAAGGTTATTCTATACTAGCTTTCTTCTCTGAACAACGTAACAATTTACTGAACTTAATTCCTCATGGACAAGATTATTCGTCTGGACAAGTTTGATATATCTTCTGCAGACCCTCAGGCTAGCAAGCTCTGGAGACTATGGTACCGTAATTTTAATTATTACTTATCAACTATTGCTTCTTTAAACCCGGACAAACTCGAAGTCCTTTATTTAAACATCGGTGCTACCATTGCTGATGTTATCAAGGGTTGTTCTGGATTTGAACATGCTGTTGAATTGCTGAGAAGTGTTTATGACAAGTCTCCAAGTGTTATTCACGCTAGACATTTGTTGTCTACACGTCTGCAGCAGGAAAATGAGTCTGTAGACCAATACCTTCAGGCCTTGAATCGACTTGCTGCTAACTGTTGCTTCCAAGATGTTACTGCTACTACTTACAGGGATGAATCTGTCCGTGATGCATTTATATCGTGGTCTCCGGTCCCCTGAATACGTACAGACTGCTTGAAAATGATCGCTAACTCTCAAGGAGGCTACTCAATGTGCTAGAGCCTTAGAACAGGCTCACTTTCATGCTGAATCATACGCTTCTCAGATTGGGTCAATCGCTGCTACTACCACTAGGACTAAAAATGTGTTTACTGATTCTGCCAAGGAGGCTTCTTCCACTACTTACTAAAAATATGCTTTCAGACTTAACTGATTCTCGTACGGAGTGTGACTCTGTACAATTGTCTGCTGCCCTTGCTCGTGGCAAGTGCTACAACTGTGGAGGGAAACGTCACTTTAAGGATAATCGTCGCTATTGTCCTGCCCATGATAAGATATGTCGAAACTGTGGTAAACTCGGTTATTTTTCTAAAGTTTGCCATTCTACCATGCCGGCACCTTCACGTTCTACTTCAGCTATTATAGTAGCCCATGCTAAAGATGATGATAGGTCTCCTCCAGTTACTAAAACTTTAGAATTAAAAGGAAAGAGATTAACT